GAGAAGGTGGTGAACTTCTTACAAACATTGGTGATCGTGTCACCAACACAGTCAAAAACGTACTCCACACTGATGGACTAGCAACCGATCACGATCATGGTAGTGAGATGAAAGCTACTGTTGATTTGACTTCGTCGCCTGTTTCTATTCCTGCGTCTCCTGCACCCCGAGTAACAAGACCCCTGGAATTGGACGATCTTGCGAGTGGATCTGAAGAAGAAATTGTCAATATCGTGCTAAACACTGCGAGTAAATCGGCAGGACGACCACGGGAAAAAATCTACAAAGAAGGCAAAGCGACGTAGAGAATTTGACGAGACGAAGGCGCTTATCGAGCAAGTCAACGACCACGGTGATATTACTCTATCTGACTTTCGGAACTGTGTGGAACAAAAACACCTGTCACTGAAACAAGTTGGGCCTGTCCTCAATGTCATTCGACTCCAGCACGAAAGCGCAGTTTTTAAGCGACCAAAAGAACATGCTGTTACACCAGGAACTACGAAAACTGTCGAAATAAATATCAGGTTCGTTCTTCCAGAAGCTCTCGTGCAAAATTCGCGAACGGCCGGAATGAACGCTATCGCTCGTGAACAGGCCAAGTCAGGACGCACACCGCCGTATGACGACATTATTATTTCCATTTTAGGTGTTGGTACATTTTCTCTCACCGATATCGGCACCATGTTCGAATGGCATTGTGTCAAGAAGAAATTTCGGCCACTCAAGCGTTGATGAAATGGCTGGGAACAAAACCTGATACGGAAACGCGCCGTGCAATTGCCAGCCGTGTGGCTACGATGAACATGTTTTCAGCATTTAAATCCAAGGTAGGAGAAACTATCGTGCAGTTTGACGATTTGACAAATTTTGCAAGAGAAATGTGGCTATGCGATGGATCCGTTTTCGTAGCGGCTCTAAAGGTGGTGGATATGTGGATGCGCGCGCGCGATGGTGGACAAATTACAGACGTACACGTGGTGGATCCTGTATTTCTAGGCTTCGAACATGAACTTGACCGTGCGAGGATGCTCGATACCAAGGAATGCGTGCTGAGCAAAGTAGTCACTTCCCGCGTCATCCTGGTTCCTATATATATCAACGTTGATCTTCAACATTGGTGCGGGGCACTTATTGACTTCGGCAGTAAGATTATCTGGATTTACGACCCCAAAAGCAGATACGACTATCTTGACAAAGTCGAAAATATCGTGTTGAGAAAATTGGTACCGCTGATTGAAAATTCATGAACGATGATCATTCGACGCTCGTCGGCATGGCATCGGAAGGATGGGTACATGTAACGGGGTTACACGGGTGTGGCGCACACATGGGTACGGAGTACCCGAAGAATTAACAGACTCTCAGTACATGAATCGTAGAGTTAACAGTGGCCTCAGTACATAGGCTGAGGGCCACACGATATGCATTTGATTAGGTTTAACTATGCTAGATAGTTAAACATAGATAGTGGCTTGGCCGCAATAAAAATAAATAAAACACTTCTGGTTTTGAAGCATAAAAGTTATTAGTGTTCTTAATAACTTTGAGCCCTGGTTCTTGAGCTGTAAGTTTCCTTCGGATAAGGAACTTGATTTTAGGGACTCTTTGAGTCGTACGTCTTCCTCTGACGCTCAGCTACGGCAGCCCCGCTGCAGTACAATTGCGGAGTACTTATTGTCAAGTGGTTTGAGACGTTTCTTAACGTCGCTGCGAGCACCAAGCTGAAGAGGACATTAAAGACTTAACACCCAAGAACATTTCGGCTACGGACCTAGATGAATGCAGATACAACATGTTCCAGT